GTTACCCAGTTCATTGAAAGCCTTCTTATTTAGTTTACTTGGGATAATTTTACTTAGTTTGCTTTATTGCTGTGGAATATATTGCTGTTGTATTCTTTGTATGGGGATGCAGGATAAACTTATTGAATATTTTCTTGAGGTGAACACTTATTAATCTTTCAGATATCATCCTTTATCAAAACTTGGAGTTGTAAATGGCCCTCACCATAAATGGCCCTCACCATACTGATGCCATCTGACCGAGCTCTCTACCCTGAACATAAGAGACACTAATAGTTAAACAGGAATATTGTCACTGCTGTTCAGTTTGATGTAGTCACAGAAGACGGATCTTCATCCTCTGAAACCCTTAGGATTAAGGGTTCTTTTCCAAAAGGGAGGGGGAAAACGTCAGAGGTGTGTGAACCAGAGCAACTATATCTTGAATAGGAATTAGGTAAAATGAGGCTGATACCTTGTGCGTTGCATTTTCAGAGGGTTAAGGCATTCTAACTTACAGGATGAGATAGGTCAGCACAAGATACAGGTCATAAAGACTTTGCTGATAAAACAAGTTGCAGTAAAGAAACCAGCTAAAACCCACCAAAACCAAAATGGCCACAAGAGTGACGTCTGGTCATCCTCACTGTTACACTTCCACCAGTGCCATGACAGTTTACAAATGCTATGGCAACATCAGAAAGTTACCCTATATGGTCTAAAATGGGAAGGCATGAATAATCCACCCCTTGTTTAGCATATCATCAAGAAATAGCCATAAAAATGGGCAACCAGCAGCCCTTGGGGCTGTTCTGTCTGTGGATTAGCATTCTCTTATTCCTTCACTTTCCTAAAATACTTGCTTCTGCTTTGCACTGAAGACTCACTCTGAATTCTTTCTTGCACAAGATCCAAGAACCCTTTCTTGGAGCCTGGATTGGGACATCTTTCCTGTAACAATCTTAGCACTTTGGGAGGCCAAGGCAGGGGGATTGCTTGTGGCCAGTTCAAGACCAGCCTGATCAACATAGTGAGACTCTGTCTATGAAAATAAAAAAAATAGCTGTGTGTAGTGGCATACAGCTGAGTATTAGTTTATAATTTGATTATAAATCAATCAAATTATAATTAAATTATAATTAAATTTATAATTAAATCAAACAGTGGGACTGTTTGATTGATAAGCGTCTTCATCCCTCTTCAGACTGGAAGCTTCCTGAAGACAGAGGCCAAGGTCTATTTTAACCACCTTTGTGTCTCCATTACCTGGCACATTCAGGCTTTCAACAAATACTTGTTGTTTGAATGAATTAATGAATAACCCAGCAATTATACCCAATGTGATATCTGGGTTCCTGGTCCTAGTTTAATTACCCACTGTTCACAACCCACATGTTCTACCTCCATACCATTCGATCTCTATACTAAAGAAACCATTTCTCTCTTATTTCATCTCTACAGAAGAGATGCTCAAAGGAAAGTTCTTCAGACTTTGTTTTCACTTCATCACTATTTAATTCCTCAATCCATTATAATCAGCCTACCACTCCCATGACTACACTGATAGTGTTTTGATAAAAGTCACCAGTGATCTCCCTATCTAATTGACTCCTTATGTTCATCTAAACTGTCTAACATGTTTCTTTTGATATAATTCTTTTCTCTTTTTTAAAAATTCCTACCTCTCTCCCTTAGTTGCTGTAAGATATCACTCTACTGGTTTACTTTCAATCTCTCTGGTTGTTATTTTTGAATCTACTTGGGCTTTTGCTTGAAAGGTTTACTGCTGTCTTTCCAGATAAAGCATTTTAATTACAGAAGCTTTATCTTTACTGTAATATACTTTAAAAATTTGCTTATACTCTAATAAGAATGATAAATCTTAGCAATGAGAAAGAATTTCCTGATGTGTAGAGAAGTGAGGCAATGTAACTATAACACTACCTAAGATGATTCCATGTTTTCCTGATTTAGTTGAAACTGATTATCTGGCAGAGTTTGGATAGTTTTCCACCCAGAAGCCAGAATTTTGACTAGGTAACTTGTAAAATATTCCTTATTTTCCTGACATTCTACCATTTATACCACATTTTATCTGGGTTTTAAAATATCCTGCAATAGCTACTCACTCTGCTCACATGTTGGGCAGTCGTTCCACCTTTAATTGCTTATTCACAAAGAGATTGACATCTATATTAATCTGTATCCTAACGATGTTTTCATGTTCCTTCTCCACATTGCTTGTGTGAGTGTGGGGGGGGGGTGGGGAAAGAACAGCAAAGAGATAGCCCTGAACAATGCTATATTCACATGTGACCCAGGCGTAGGAAATGGCGTAAAAATAGAATTAGGGGTTGTGATTTTCACTAGCACTCTACTGTCATAGATTGCACATCATTTTTTGTATGAAATTGCCTTCCATATAGGTATTGAGGTAGATAAGAGTCAGAAACCGCAGCTAATGGGCCATGTCTGACATGCTGCATCTTTTCTTTATGACATGCAAGCTAAGAATGATCTTTTATTTTATATATTTATTTAGAGTTAGAGTCTTGTTCTGTTGCCCAGGCTGGAGTGCACTGGCATGATCTCGGCTCACTGCAACCTCTGCCTCCTGGGTTCAAGTGATTATCCTGCCTCAGCCTACTGAGTAGCTGAGATTATGGGCATGTGCCACCACACTGGCTAATTTCTGTATTTTTAGTAGAAACGGGGTTTCACCATGTTCGCCAGGCTGGTCTTGAACTCCTCATGATCTACCCGCCTCTGCCTCCCAAAGTGCTGGGATTACAGGCTTGTGCCACTGCACCTGGCTGATCTTTTACATTTTTAAATAGCTGCAAGAAAAAAAGTATAGAATAATACTTCATGACAAATCAAAACTGTATTAAATTCAAATTTCTTTCTTTCTTTTTTTTTTTTTTTTTGAGACAGAGTTTCTCTCTTGTTACCCAGGCTGGAGTGCAATGGCGCGATCTCGGCTCACCGCAACCTCCGCCTCCTGGGTTCAGGCAATTCTCCTGCCTCAGCCTCCCGAGTAGCTGGGATTACAGGCACGTGCCACCATGCCCAGCTAATTTTTTGTATTTTTAGTAGAGACGGGGTTTCACTATGTTGACCGGGATGGTCTCAATCTCTCGACCTCGTGATCCACCCGCCTCGGCCTCCCAAAGTGCTGGGATTACAGGCTTGAGCCACCGCGCCCGGCCAAATTCAAATTTCAATGTCCATAAAGTTTCATTGAAATATAGCCAAGCTAATGCACCTATGTATTGTCTATAGCTGCTTTGTGCTTCAACAGAAGAGTTGAGTAGTTGCAACAGAGACCATGTGGCCCAAAAGCCTAAAATAATTAATATCAGGCCCTTTATATTAAAAAATTGCCAACTCCTTGGCTGGAGTATACAAACTAAGGATAATTGCATAAGATGAGTTTGAAGAGACAGAAAAACAACAACAACAACAACAACAACAAAACAAGATCATGCAGGATCTTACAGGCAAAAATAAAAATTTTGTTTTTTTTAATTAATTAATTTTTTTTTTTTGAGACTGAGTTTCGCTCTTGTTACCCAGGCTAGAGTGCAATGGCATGATCTTGGCTCACCGCAACCTTCGTCTCCTGGGTTCAAGCAATTCTCCTGCCTCAGCCTCCCGAGTAACTAGGACTACAGGCATGTGCCACCATGCCCAGCTAATTTTTTTGTATTTTTAGTAGAGACGGGGTTTCACCATGTTGACCAGGATGGTCTTGATCTCTTGAACTCGTGATCCACCCTCCTCGGCCTCCCAAAGTGCTGGGATTACAGGCATGAGCCACCGCGCCCGGCTATTTTTTAATTTATTTTATATTTAAATAGGGTTTTGGGAAAAGGTAGTGTTTGGTTACATGAATAAGTTCTTTAGTGGTGATTTCTGATATTCTGATGCCTCCAACACCCAAGCAGTGTACATTGTACCCAATGTGTAGTCTTTTATCTCTCACCCCCTACTTTCCCCCAGTCTCCAAAGTCCATTGTATCATTATTATGCTTTTGCATCCTCATAGCTCCTACTTATAAGTGAGAACATAGGATGTTTGGTTTTCCATTCCTGAGTTACTTCACTTAGAATAATAGTTTCCAATTCCACCCAGGTTGCTGTGAATGCCATTATTTTTTTCTTTTTATGGCTGAGTAAAAACCACTAAGGTTTTAAAAAAGAGAAATAATTGATATGAGAGAAGAAAAATTAAATTACATAAAATTCTCAGAATCAGACAAGGCAGAAAATGAGTGGAGGACAAACAAACATGAAGAGCAAGGACAGTAAGTAGAAAACAGTAATAAGCAGGGTAGTTATTTCAATTATATCAATATTAATTTTAACACCAATGACCTAAACACACTAATTAAAGAGACTCATAGAACAAAAGTCACGAGACCCAGTGTATGTTGTATATGCAAAATTCACTTAAAGACAAATAGATGAAACATAAAGGGATGGAGAAAGATACATCATACTAACGCTAACAAAAAGAAAACTGAAAAACTGTGTTAGTTTCAGATAAAGCCAACTTCAGAGAATGGAAAATTATCAGGAATAAAGAGAGACATTACATGACAATAATGGATAAATTCTCCAAGAATTTATGTATGCACCAATCAACAGAACATTAAGGTATGTGAGGCAAAAACAGAACTGCAGGAAATAGATGAATGCACCATTATAACTTCTACACCTGTCGGTAACTAACAGATGTAGCAAACATAAAAAATGAGTAAGAACATAGTTAAATTTAAACACATCATCAGTCAACTGAATCTAATTGACATATATGGAATACTTCATCCAACAGTAAAATACACATTATTATCAAGCTAACACAGAACATTCACCAAGATATACCATATTCTGAGCTCTAAGACACACTGTAACAAATCTAAAAGAATTCATACAATACATAGTATGTTCTCAGACCACAATGGAATTTAACTAGAAATCATAAACAAAAAGATAGCTGAGCTGCACTGTCTTTACGTGCTGGCCATGGAGGCGTCCAGCGAGCCGCCGCTGGATGCTAAGTCCGAGGTCACCAACCAGCTTGTAGATTTCCAGTGGAAACTGGGTATGGCTGTGAGCTCAGACACTTGCAGATCGCTTAAGTATCCTTATGTTGCAGTGATGCTAAAAGTGGCAGATCGTTCAGGCCAAATAAAGACCAAGTGCTTTGAAATGACGATTCCACAGTTTCAGAATTTCTACAGACAGTTCAAGGAAATTGCTGCAGTTATTGAAACTGTGTGAAGATGGATTATTTGGTTGGTAAACTGCTATCATTCTAAAGTCATGGACTTCACTTTCTGCAACAAAACCATATAAGAATGAAACCTGTACCGAATGAAAAATGTACTTTTGCTTTTCCATTTTTTTAAATAATAAAAAAAAATCCAACAGAAAAAAAAAAAAAAAGACAGCTGAACCGCCCCCATCAAATACCTGGAGATTAAACAACACATCTCTAAGTAACACATGGGTTGAATAAGAAGTCTCAAGAGAAATTAAAAATATTTTGAACTAAATGAAAATGAATATAAGACCTTTTAAAATCTGTGGTATGCAGTGAAAGAAATATTTGGAGGGAAAATTACAACATTGAATGTATTATAAAAGAAGAAAGATCTAAAATCAGCAATCTAGGTTTCTACTTTAGCAAACTAAAAAAAAAAGTAAATTAAGGCCAGGTGCAGTGGCTCAAGCCTGTAATCCCAACACTTTGGGAGGCCAAGGCGGGTGGATCATGAGGTCAAGAGATCGAGACCATCCTGGTCAACATGGTGAAACCCTGTCTCTACTAAAAATACAAAAAATTAGCTGGGCATGGTGGCGCGTGCCTGTAATCCCAGCTACTCAGGAGGCTGAGGCAGGAGAATTGCCTGAACCCACGAGGTGGAGGTTGCGGTCAGCCGAGATCGTGCCATTGCACTCCAGTCTGGGTAACAAGAGTGAAACTCTGTCTCAAAAAAAAAAAAAAAAAGAAAAAAAAAGTAAATTAAATCCAATGTAAGCAGAAAAGAAAATAAAAATTTGAGCAGTAAGGATGCCTGCTCTCATCATTCTTATTCTACATTGTACTAGAAGTTTTAGCTAATGCAATAAGCCAACAACAGGAAATAAAAGTATACAGATTGGAATGAAAAACTTGCCTTTGTTCACACATTACATGATTGTCTATGAAGAAAATACTGAAGAATCAACAAAATACATCCTAGAACTAATGAGCAATCATAGAAAGACTTTAGGGTACAAGCTTAAGATACAAATGTCAATTGGTTTCTTATATAGGTCAGCCATGAACAATTTGAATTTGAAAATAAAAGCAATGTTGTTTATATTAGAAAAAACAAAATGCAATACTTAGGTATAAATCTAATGGAACATGTCAAAATTAGTTTGTCAACTCTTTACATAAGAATTAATCGCAACCCCTTTCAACCTTTTCCAAAAAATAGAATAGATGAAAATACTGTCTGGCTCATTCTATGAGTCTATGACTCATTCTATGAGGTATTAACCTGTAGAAAGCCAGACAATAGTATCATCACAAGAAGAGAAAACTATAGACCAATAACCTTTCTGAATAAAGGTGCAAAAACTTTTCAACACAATTCTAGCAAATTGAATCAAGCAGTGTATTAAAATGTGCATTCATTATGACCAAGCAGAATTTATTCTACAAATTCAAGGTTATATCAATACACAAACATCACTAAATATAATATGGCACGTTATAGAATTTTTTTAAAAAACCCATATTCTCACTCAATTGGTGTAAAAACATTTTGCAAAATCCAATATTCTTTCATGATAAAAGAAAACACTCAATAAAATAAGAGTATAAGGTGCATTCCTTTGCTAGTGTTGCTATAAGAAAATATCACAGACCAGACGACTTAATAGAAACATATTTTCTCACCATTCTGAAGGTTAGAAGTTCAAAATCAAGGTGTTAACATGTTTTTTTTTTTTCATCTGAGGCATTTTTTCCTTGACTTACAGATGGCTGCCTTCTTGCTGTGTCCTAAGTGTTTCCTCTGCACAGGCATCCCTGGTGTTGCTTTATGTGTCTAAATTTTCTCTTCTTATAAAGAAGTATATAGAATGGAGTAAAATATTTAAGGTGAATAGGGCCTTAAATGAATTAGGGCTGACCATAACAGCCTCATTTAACTTAATCATCTTATTTAAAGGTCCTATGTACAAATACAGTCACATTCTGAGATATTAGGGATTAGGACATCAACATATGAATTTGGGGATTCAACCCATTACAGAAGAAAACTTAATCTGATAACACATATTGATTAATATCTCACAGCTAACAAACCTTCAATGGTGAAGGATTGAAAGTGTTTCTCTTAAGAGCAGGAATGAAACAAGGATGCCCATTTTTACCACTTCTATTCAACATTTAATTGGATTTTAAAGTCAAAGCAATTGGCCAAGAAAAAGTCATGCAAATTGGAAAGAAAAAAGTAAAACTATATTTACAATAACATATTCTTATATATATAAAAAAAAAACCAACTTTAAAGAACCCACAGATGCACAGAACTGTTTCAGCTAATATACATATCTAGCAGTGTTGCAAGATACAAGATCTACATTAAAAGTATCAGCTGCATATGGTGGCTTATGCCTATAATAAGTTCTGAACTTTGGGAGGCTGAGATGGGAAGACTGCTGGATCCCAGGAGTTAGAGACCAGCCTGGGCGACATGGTGAAACCCTGTTTCCTTAAAAAGACACACACACACACACACACACACACAAAATTTAGCTGGGGCTGGTTGCACATGTCTGTAGTCCCAGCTATTCGGGAGGCTGAGGTGTAAAGACTGCTTGAGCCTGGGAAGTTAAGGCTGTAATAGGCGATAATCATATCACTGCATTCCAGCCTGGGTGACAGAGCAAGACCCTGTCTCCAAAACAAACAAACAAACAAACAAACAAACAAATGAACAAACATCAAAAACCAAAAAATTACAAGGAATGTGCATTCACAACTGAATTAAGAAAACTGGTTCATTAATATTAGGTTTGTGCAAAAGAAATTGCAGTTTTGGCAATTAAAAAAATTTGTGCAAACCACAATTACTTTTGCACCAACCAAATAGCATCAAGAATAAAATTCTTATGACTAAATGGACCCAAGGAGATGCAAGATTTAATAATGAAAACTAAAAACACTGCTGAAGGAAATTAAATAAGACCTAATTAATGGAGAGACTTATGAGGTTTATGGATTGTAAGAATTAATATTGTTAGCACCACGATACATTCCAAAGTGATCTACAGATTTGATGCATTCTGTATCACAATTCCAACTGCCTTTCTTGTAAGATAGATAAATCCTAAAATTCATCTGGGATTATCAGAGATCCCACACAATCAAAACAACATTGCAAAATAATATAGTTGTAAGATTCACAATTGTCTTTTTTTTTTTTACCACACCTGTGTAAACAAACACAATTGTCAATGTTAAATCTTAGTACAAAGATACAGTAATCAAATTGGTGTGACAATGTCATAAAAATAGATATATAGGTCAACAAAATAGAATAAAAGTTCAGAAAGAAACCCATACAACTATGGTCAACTGATTTTACACAATGCCAAGACCATTAAATTATCAGCAAATTTGTGCTGGAATAACTGGATACATGTAAGAATATAATAAAATTGGTTTCTTACCTCATACTCCATTCAAAATTTAACTCAGAATAAATCAAAGACCCAAATTGAAAAGCTAAAACTACTTTTCAGAAAAACTTAGAAAGACATATATGGGTAAATCAAGACTGTGGGTTTGGCAACAGATTCTTAGATGTGACATCAAAAATACAAGTAACAGAGGCCGGGCGCTGTGGCTCAAGCCTGTAATCCCAGCACTTTGGGAGGCCGAGGCGGGTGGATCACGAGGTCAAAAGATTGAGACCATCCTGGTCAACATGGTGAAACCCCGTCTCTACCAAAAATACAAAAAAATTAGCTGGGCATGGTGGCACGTGCCTGTAATCCCAGCTACTCAGGAGGCTGAGGCAGGAGAATTGCCTGAACCCAGGAAGCGGAGGTTGCGGTGAGCCAAGATCGCGCCATTGCACTCCAGCCTGGGTAATAAGAGCAAAACTCCGTTTCAAAAAAAAAAAAAAAAAAAAAAAAAAATACAAGTAACAAAAGAAAAAAAAAAAGATAAGCTGGATTTCACCAGAATTAAGGATGTTTGTGCATAAAAGGATATTATTAACAAGGCAAATCACATAATGGGAGAATATATTTGCAAATCCTATATCTGACTGTCAGAGGCATTTGAACCACAACAACTCCATCTTGAATAAGAGTTTGGTAAAATGAGGTTGAAACCTACTGGGCTGCAATCCCAGATGGTTAAGGCATTCTAGGTCACAGGGTAAGAAAGGAGGTCGGCACAAGATACAGATCATAAAGACCTTGCTGATAAAACAGATTGTAGTAAAGAAGCTAGCTAAAACCCACCAAAACCAAAATGGCCACAGGAGTGACCTCTGGTCGTCCTAACTGCTACACTTCCACCAGTGCCATGACAGTTTACAAATGCTATGGCAACATCAGAAAGTTACCCTATATGGTCTAAAAAGGGGAGGTGTAAATAATCCACACTTTGTTTAGCATATCATCAAGAAATAACCATAAAAATGGGCAACGAGCAGCCTTTGGGTCTGCTATGTCTTTGGAGTAGCCATTCTTTTATACCTTTACTTTCTTAATAAAATTGCTGTCACTTTATTCTACAAAATCACCCGCAATTCTCTCTTGTATGAGATCCAAGAACCCTCTCTTGGCATCTGGATTGGGGCTCCTTTCCCATAACATCTTTTTGGAGACCACTGAAGGGACCATAGTGCAGAAATCCTCTACCCAAAGGCTAACTTTGTGTTAAGTGTTGGGGTCTGTTCAATAACATCTTTTTGGCAAACCACAGAAGAGATGATGCTGAAGAACTCCCCGCCAACCCAAAGAAAAAAGACTACAGCACTAATTGCCTATGTTGGGGAAGTGGTGGGGTACCTGGGTAAAGGATGGTATTGGGTTAGAGGCCCAGTTTAGGGGAGTTATAGTCTCTCCTAAAACAGAGTGGGTTAGATGCCCTTCTCAATAAAAGGCAAGGACGCTTAACTGGCCTTGAATTAAAGGTCCAATTTAGAATTAGAGTCTCTTCTAATATTTAGGGGGTTAGAGGCCCCTCTTGGTAAAGTCTCTTTCAGCCAAGAATGGGTTTGACACCATGGGATGTTAACTGCTATTCTCTTTGTTAATGGCTATGGGTGACAGGATTAGGCATGTATTGGATTGTGGGACATGGGGAGCTATTTCCTTCCTAAAAAGGGGAAACTTGAGAGCTGATGGTACTGCTA